TGCTTACTCACTGATATTTCTTTTGTCTCTTCTCATAATCCAAAGATCAAGACTGGGTTTGGTTATTTTTTTTTCCCTGCTGTGCTCAGGAAGATTCCCCCTAATAGAGCTGCCCTTAATCTTGACATAATTCATCTCATTTTTCACCTTCTTTCATTATCGGGGAGATCTTTGAGCCCTGAATACTGATACTCACCTTTAAGTCAATTGTAAAGAGCAAGTCAGGGAAGATGAATCACTGCAATTGTTCTGTTCAGCTATGGGTGCTAGTTTTTGTCCATTTGTCAAGATCTTTGTTGCTGCTTGTCTGCAATCAAAGGCTTCCTGTCACTACCTGCTTTAGTACTGAGGGCAGACACGTCAGCTGGGCCTTGTGTTACCCACCAGCCACCCCTTTCACAATTCAGCCTTGAACTGCCATTTGCCTCCCCGTGCACTGCAGCAGCACACGGCCAACTAAATGCCACCCTTACTGAAAATAGTACAGTTACTATCCATGCCAAAGCAATGCAAACATATAATCAAGCATGTAATATATATAGTACAAACATATATATACATACACAAGTTATTGTAATTATGTAACTTTTCAATAGTGTTGATGTAATGACAATATAGAAACACATCAGTGAGCAGAATGACATAAGAAGTGGGTGAAAAGCAAACCAGATGGGGGGTAAAAGGAAGAGAAATTATCTAAGCAAAAAAAAAGAAGCTGCCAACTTCAGCAGAACGCAAGAGCATCTTTACTTGAGAGTATAAAAGTTCCTCCTTTTACATGCAATGGGGCAGGAACATCTTCTACATGGAAGTCTAGTCCTGTTCCTCCTGAACTTTTCCCTCAGACAAAGGGGATCTAAGGCTTGGCCTCACAAATGATCTTAAGAAGGTTAAGCTTGAGTAAATGAGGTTCAAGGCAAACAAAAAATTCCAACTCTTCCTCATTGCAACAGCTATATAAAGGGAGAGATGCAACTGAATGTTTGTTGCAGGTTCTTTGAACAGGAATACAAGGCAGGACAGGTAAATATAACATAATGGCAGCCTTATGCTTTGCACTTTCCAGTGAATGCATACCAGACTAAGGATAGTCAAAAAAAAAAAGAATTTTCAGTAAACAGAGCTTTGAAGTGTAGATTGTGATTCCCGCTTCTGCATCTGACCTTCAGCAAGTCGCTTAGTCCCAGTCTTTCAGTATTTAACCTTCCCTGTTGTGGGGCGCAAGGGAGAGCTGAAAGGAGGGCTGTTTCCCTTAATCTTTCTAGGCTCTTACGTTTACTGTATATGCTTACAGGGTTGCCATCACCTTTCCCAGTTTCTATACACCCAGATGGGAGGCAAACCGCACTGCCAGCTTGCTTAAGGATGGAATCTAGTGCATCTTGCACAACATGCACTGCAAGTCTGCAGCAAAGCAGGCAACTGAATGCAGGATGCCCTGGTCATAGGCTAAGGCTGAAGCAGATGGACTATTCATCCCCAGAGTTAAGCCCCCTGTTTCTGCCACATCTGTTGAGGTGCTTGCACTCTGTTTGTGTTTGCAAACTCTGGTCTGGAGACGGAAGAAGCTTTGAGCAAAAGGGCTGGAATGTCTACCTATGGCAACCCTGAGCTATGCAGGGCTGGTCTCTGAGACCCAGTCTTGTTTGTATGGAAGCTTGATTAAAGACGAGCAAGAAGTTCGAGGGTATGAAAAACTCTTGTCTGTGTTTAAAATTGTTAGCAGAGCGTCTCTGTCATGGTGCTGAGCAGCTAGAGGCCCTTTTTGGTTCACAGAGTAGAAGCAGTGCTCGTGCGCTTCAGGGTTAGAGTTTAACGGCAACCACAATAAGAGCTGTTAGTGACAGAGAGGATGTGTGAATGCAGTAGCTGAATATGAACTTCATCCTGCTGTGGGGGGCAAAATTAAAATTCCATCCCCAAGTGTTTCTAGGCGGGAAGCTTTGAAATTGATTTCCTAAAACAATTTCTAAAGTCTAGGGTATTTGAACTGATACAGTGTTGTGTCACCAACTCAAACCTGAAATCCATAATGAGATCCTTTCCTGAGCCCAGAAAAGAAAGCATCTATGAATTTCAGGTACAATTCTGGACTTCTGAAGAAGGTGCATGTGACATTGTTCATTGTTTTCTTGGGGGTTTTTTGTTGGTTTTGGTTTATGGGGGGTTTTGTTGTTTTTTTTTAAAGGAGATCTAGGTGTTTGAATTCAGTAATTTCTTATTCTTTTGACTTCTAAGACTCAAAATATGTTGAGTATTACCACAATGTAGAGAGATATGTCTGAACTCTGCCTTTTGGGCATCTCTAGTTCTGCTTGTTGCTTCAAGGATGTAGTGAAAGGAACCAGCCATGTATGCAAAGGAATATGAGTAAAATGTTACTAAAAAAGAAAAACGTTTCTGGGTGGGTCTACAAGCTCTGTCACTGCATATTCACATCATGCTAACACATGATGCTTTCTTGAAGAAGTAGTTCTGAAGTGCATTCTTGTTTCTAAGCTGGCCTCCATGTGTAGAGTTGCCTTCATTTGCTTGTAGTTACATGTCTAGTCACTGCTGACTCTCCCACAGGCAAATTGTAGGGTCATGACCTTGCTCCTATTTAAAGTTTCAGTGGGGAAAGCCAGACATGGAGGAGCTGTATGTAGTTTTTGGCAGAATCTCAGGTCTTGTGTGTACAGGAATCTTTTTTTTCCCATCCAGTTTTTACTTTTTAGAGACTCAAATAGAAGTATAATTTTTTTTTTTCCTAAATGCTTTCATGAAAAATGTTTATGAAGGTTTAGAAAGCAGCTGGCTTGTCCAAATAACATCTTGGGGAAGGGGAGCTGTAGTCAGGTCCCTCTGGTACAGTGATTCTTGGGGAAGATGCTGACACCACTTCTGCAAAAGTACAGTAAAAAGTCTTCCCTGTCTGCTTATTGTACTTTTTATGGCAATCTTTGTATGGGTTAGTTCAGCTGTTCCAACTAAATTTGCAGTCTGTGATTTAATTCTGGTCTCTTTTTGCCCTTTGTGGTGTGAGTAGGCAAGATCTCAGCTGATCCCTTTGAACTTAAGGACAAGATGTTTGTTTTACCTTGACCAAGCTCAGTTGTTTGCTGATGGTATGACCCATACAGTAATTGGTTTTTTGAGACTGTTTCATTCCACTGAAGAGCTAGCTTGAGCTCAGGCCACCTATCTGCCAGATGCCACATCCTGAACCCAGTTTCTTATGTGCATTGAGGGCTGTGGAAAGCCTCTTTGTTGCTATCGTATCTCCTATAAAATATGTGATTGTGAAAAAGGGCACAGTAATGGGTCTGCTGGGTAAGGTAACTTTGCTTTCATCATGAGGCTGAGTATGTTGGTAAAAGATTCAGGCGGTGACAAGAGTTTCCCAGACTGTAATTTCCTGCTCTGACTGTTCTGTATGCAAAGGATGAAGTATGTCATCCTTGTAGCAGAGTAAGGTGGAACATTGATCTGTTCAGATGCCTGCATCCTAACCTTGAGCTAGAGAGCTGTTCTGCTTCATATATCTTAAAGAATATGAATAATTCAGTAAATTCAAAATGGGAGACTGTCCAAGAGCATGCTATGAGGAAAAAAAGCAGAATTTGGATACACAGGGGATAAAACATCATGGCTTTTGTTTCTTAAGCTGAATGCCTAGTCCCAGGTGGCCATTGTTTCTCCTCTTTACTGAAAGACTGCCTCAATTTCCCAGTTCAGTGAATAGCTTCTTAGAGAGCCACAAAATACTTCCCAACATATCTCATTTTACCACTTTTGCTTTGCAAATCAACATATGCTGCTGAGTGTGTTGAGGCCAGAAAACAATTAATAGCAAGAAAAAGTGCTTCCTTGGCTTGCAGGCAGCTCCCAGATTGCTCCTTTGCCCAGATTAGAGAGGATTTAAGAAGCACACATTCTGTGTATGCTAAACCAGCTCTGCAGAAACCACAGCATACCATCATCCTACTCTTATCTCTGAATTCCATGGACAGGCAATCTCAGCTGCTCAGCACGGGCTGGCAGCTTTAGCTTGCGAGTAGGTGCTGAAATCCATGTAAGTGTGGAAATGATAGTGACACAACGGCTCAGATGTTATCTCCTTAGCAAAGCCAAAGCAGTTTCCATGGTGATGGAGAAGCTCCAGGCCCCCAGTGATGCAGCTGCTGTGTTGGACGGGATCAGTAGCCTTTTCATACAGAGGCTGCTCTTGTAAAGCTTTTGTGCGCTTATGTGGTACTCACTCATAGGTTGTATCCAGCTCTGGAACGTAAAATGAGGGGTGAGGGGAAGATTTAAATTGACTGAAGTGAGTGCTGACCTAAAAAGGAAACAGGAAAAGAGGGGTGAAAATGTTTCAAGTCTTGAAGTATCCACAGGTGACACATGCATGTGACAGCTTGAGTGGATTTGATATTCTGGTCAGTACTTTTCTGAGATGTTGTGTGCCAACGTTAGTAGCTCCTGAAGTTCTTGTGTCAAGTGGAAGTGTCAGATTCATATTCCCAGGTCTTAACTTTCTTCTGAATAGGATTCAAAATCGGAATGGGTCTCTTTCTTTGTATTGAGACTAGAAATTCCCTAGGACTTGGGTAAAGTGGATAATCTTGTGACTTCTGCATCTGAAGCATTAAAATGTCTTACAATTCCCTTGGTCCCCTTTCTGGGTAATAATCTCTCAATATCTCAGCTCAGGTATGTGGAATTAATTACATACTTTTCCTCTGGGATTTTACAGCCTGTGCTTTCACTTTCTTATTGCTGAGACAGCAGATACAACATCTCCAGGTTCCCACACTGGAAATGCCCATTTTGCACTTCTGCTTTGATCTTCTATTAACCTGTGCTTTGTGGGTGCTGCAGCACATGTGTAGGAATTGTGTGTAAAACTGCTCAATTAAAATAATAATTTGATCATTTGAGCCCAGATTTTTAGTGGTTTTGAGCATTGGTTGCTCTCCTCTGAACTAGGTACTAAAAGAGATTTGTATTCTGTCTTTCAGGTGGCGCAGGGGACCGGGAAAAGATGCCTGTCAATCATGAGGCTTTCCTGCTCATGGCTAATTCCCAGAATGAAATGGAAGATTGGGTAAAAGCCATCCGACGGGTTATATGGGCTCCATTTGGTGGAGGTATTGCAAATAGCTCACATGCACATAAATTAAAACATTTGCCTCAAGGTAAAACATATTCTTGTGATACTAGGATATGTGTAACACTGTAAAATCACTGAGATGTCTAGATAAGCTCTTGATTGTCTAGAGTGTTTTGAAGCAAGGAGATTGGGTTGATTTCCCCCCCACACCCCTCCTGCCAGGAGATGGACAGGAATGAAAGGGAAGGGCACATGCAGACTGTATAACTGACTCAGAAATGAGTGGTGATAACAAACATATTGCTGTTGTCACTACTCAGTTCTTTACAGCAAATTATTCTGTGGACCTTTTGTATCCTTATAGACATGAAGGAGTCTATCCAGTTATCTCAGTTTTCTTCCATAAGGGCAGATGCCCACCTTGAACATCCATACCAGCCAGAGGCAGCAAAACTTTTAATCTAGTTAATGTAGGGCCCAGTTGAGAAGGCAAAGCTTCCGCTGGCTTTAGTTGGGGGTGTAGCTTGAAGAAGAACAGGGTCAGGCTGAGTGAACACCTGTAAGGTAATACAGCTGCTGACAATTCCTGTAGTTAAAATGAACAAAAAATCCAGACTCTTGGTATTGATATTGTACCATAGTCTTAGAATTCTCAAGTCAGTAGATTAGATAGGAGTTGTTTATGTGGTTTTAGCATAGAACAAGGGGTCACAGTTGTTTTCTTCTGAGTTCACGTTGGTGACAGCAGCTGCTGGCTTGGTACTGGACACTGGGCTTTGAAGTGATTTCCATGCTACTGATGGAGTTCATGCAAATAGTGTTATCATATGCAGATAGTGCTGTCGACATCTTTTGAGGGGTACAGATAAAAAAGCACCAGATAAGGGTTAGGTAATACAATTACTTTTGCAGAAATGAAGTTACTAGTTTTCCTGGATGTAGGGGTGAGAAAAGTGACCTTGATGCAATTGAGGGAGGCTCAAATACTACAAGATCACCAAGAAGACCTGGTGTTTGTTAGTAACTTTTATCTTGTTGGTTTTTGGTTTGTTTTTTTTTCCTTTTTCTTTTAAGTGACTCTTGAAATTTGGAGTTTCTGTGTAGCAGCATTTGCTTTGTCTGGAGGAGATAAAATCTCTACTGATGCAATTTTTTTCCTAGATCCTTCTTTCACTTAGCAGAAAGGGTGTATGTAAAAAAGTTAGCTTGAATCTTATATGAGAGCTTATGTGTGATGCTGTTGTGCTGTGGGCAGAACAAGCCCTCTTCATTAGTAGAAATGGGTCTACAATGATTTCTCCTCAAACATGAATATGTGCTTGTTTTGCTTTCACTCTGAATTCCAGTCCACAATGAAGGGTCTTTTAGTCTCTGAGCTCAGTGCAAGTCTTCCATTAGAAGTCTCAGAATCTGAGCTGGTATTTCTGTGGCCATTTGTAGTGTACCTTATAGTGTGTATTTTACAGCTTTGCAATGTGCATCCAAGAAATACTGTGAGGAAAAAGGAGGAAGTCATGACAAACGCTACATGTTCTAGCAACAGCCATCTTTAGGGCATGTTTTGTCAGCACTGCAGGTATCAGTGCAAAGTTGGCTTCTTTTTTTGCTCATGTTTTGAACAGTCTCTTGAAGTAGTTTCAGAGCAAACATCTTTAAGTATTAAAATAATAAATAATTAAAAATCCCAGTATTTTAAAAACAAAAACATCAGAATGGCATAAAAGTAGGGATGGACTTCCTTTTTTTTGTTTGTCTTTTTAAGGGGTAGTATTGTCCTAATTAATATGCTATTCTTCTGTACCTCTAAACTTCTCTGCAAAACTATCAGATTACATTTTGGTTTTCCTTTAACTGAGGCAGATACTGTTGCTCTTACAATGATTCCAGGAACTGGGACTTTATGAGATACCATAGAACCATAAAATGAAATCATGAGGATGTGGAAGTGGGCGGGGGCACTACAGCAGTGCAAGGGGGAATACAGCAGCTTCTGTTTGTTGCTCTTTTCACATGCTGCAGATTTGATCTTGTTCCATCAATGTCAGTGTAAAGGCTGTTTCGGATGTCAGTGAGAGCTGGCTTAAGCCCTGTGGAAGAGAAGCACTGCTGTTTGCAGAGTTGGAAATAAGTGCAATTATGTATTGATTTTTCCTATCTGTGGATTAAAACTACACAAGAATATGGGTACACCCTGGGCAATCAGTCTGACCTGAGCTCTCTGCCTTACTACTGAAATGCAGCAGACTGAGGCTAGCTTGGCTATGCCTGCTTTGTAGTCCAAGCTGCACGGGCAGATTCTTTGCTGTAGTCACTTCTCTGAGCTAACAGAAGTACTAAACACTGTCAGGGGTGGGTTTTTTCTCCCACTGCAACCATGGCTTCCCACCAGGTTTCATTCTGCTCACACTAGTGGTTACACAGCTGTGCAGTAGGAAATGACCTGGCAGGAAAAAAAAAGGATGGAGGATTAGTTTGAAAGTAGATTGATTCCTTGGTCCTGCTAACCATGCAGCTGCAGGACTAGTAGTTCCAACACAATGAGGACATGGGGGAGAGATGATGGGGTAGAAGAGAGTGTGCTTGTTCATTCTGACTGCAACCCACACTTAAATTGGCTTAAAGAACTGTGGAGCTGCATCCTCAGTTTCTTTGCACTTTGCAAAGAATTTATAGGAATGTCAGTAACTATGAAACAGTGAAGATGTTCAAACCAATTTTTCCAAATGGTTTTTAGGCAGTCTGGGGAAATGATCAAACTTAGACCTTCTCCATCAGAATCAGAGCAGGGCAATTTCTCTGAGTGAGATTGCAGCTTAATTCAAATGTGGGAAGACAATAAACATAGCTGTCTCTGTTTTAATTGAATAATTTGAACTCTGCTTTGCTACCACCACTAATTTGAGAGCCAAGTCTTATCTATCAACACTATTTAATATATTAAGCTAAAGGGAGGAATTAAAAAGCAGGCTTCATTATTAATATGCAAATATCCAGCCCTGGAGAAGGTTGATATGGTGTAAAAAAGAATTATGCAAAGATAAAAGGGGGGGGGGGCTTAACCACACTGTAATCTTTGCTGATGTACTGAAGAAACGTAAATAAAAAGGGTTGGGGGTACCTTCTTATATGTTGCTGCGAGCACATGAACTGTGCTTAAAGGTCAACAGCAAAGGCTTCTTAAAATAAAACAGAAAACTCCCCAAAGCTGCTGAGGATCCCAAATTATTAATGGGAGACACATTCAGATTTAAAAGCCATATGGAATGTGTTCTTTGAAATACACTTCAAATGTGGCTTTAAAATAAAATCCTAGAGTTCCTGAGTCTTTTGAAGAAGAGCTGTCTTGTTTACAGGGAAAATAATTTCTAACAAGTTTCCTTGAGTTTCAGGCTCCTTAATTCTTGAGTCTAGCCCATCTCATTCAGACCAGAAGATTTTGTAAACTGAGATTTGAGAGTATTCTGTATGTTTTGATTGTCTTTAAGAAAAAAGTTTGTCACAGTGACTTGATAGAAGTAAGTTTTGGAGCATATTCTGACAGAGGGTTATTAAAACTGTTTCCTATGGTCCTTTTTACTTCTGTGACAAATTTTGTTCCAAGTTTACACCACTAAAAGCTTATCTGGAGAGTCCCTCTGTGTCCTACACTCATGCTGTTCAGCAGCTGCTCTTTCATGTGAAGTGCTTGTAGCAGTGCTATAGTGCTAAATGCAAAGGGTTTGTGGCCATAGGCTTGGGTGAGAATGACCTTGCTAGTGTCCTCCAAAGGTGGATGCATTTGGTGTAGTTGGGGGAGAGAGGAGGTCATTCCTAGCTCTGTACATGTAGGGTGGGGCTGTACTTCTAGTCTGAAGAGGTACAGCCACTAAAAGGAAATCCCTTTTCTTCTACACACCTCTCAGTTGACATGCCTTCCTTATTTTTGTTTCCATCAGCTGCAGAGCAGAATGTGTCTAGGACTGAATTTTTGGCCATGAGATACAAAACCTGGGCTTTTTGGTGCCTGAGTTGAAAGCCAAGCGGCATAACTCTATCACAGCTCAGCACACAGCCAACACTCCATGGGGACAGAATAATTCTCTGTTAATCTTGATTTATGTTTGTGTTTGTTTTCTTCTGTTTACATATTCTGTCTTGCCGTGAGCAGTTCCTTGCTCCTCTGCCAGAAATACACGTCTCAGCCGCTTTCTTTCTCCATTACTTTATCCTAATTTCTCCTCATCATCATCCCAAGCTTTCATCAGTTACTTGTGATGCAGGGGAGGTGAAGTAGTTGGAAGGGATGTGTTTCCCTTAGGCAAACATGGAGAGCTTTACCCTGTGACAAAGTAATTGCGTTGCAAGAGCTTCAGGAAGTTTCTCTGCTCAGGAGGAATAGTCAGTTTTTAACGGGTGGGGTCTGAGGAACTGTCCACTGAGGAAGCCACTCTACCATCGTTAATTCCAGACATCTTTCCCATGTAGATAAACCATGATGTCTGATTCTTTCTTCTTCTGCCAGCAAACAGTGCAGAAAATGTTTTGGGGGTTTTTTTTGGCAACCAGGGCCTTGTTGTGCAGACCATGTCTTGTATTAGGGGAGAGCTACAAACTAGGGGACAAGTCTCTGAGGTGTAATTTAGTTCCTGGGTCAATGTCCTTGTGGGTAAATGGAAGACTAGACCTACATAGGCCTAATTAGGAATCCTGCTTTGGATGAGTAAATGTCTTTCAGATAACACCTGCATGAGAGCAAACATGATCTGTTGTGAAGGGTCAGGTTTTGTATTAGATGCATGTCCACCTGGATGCCAGGCTGTTTAGAAGCTAGGATTAAGTTTTGGGAGTCTTGAGTTTAATTTTTCCACCTGCAAGATGGGAATTTTCCAGTAAGAGCATCATAAGCATAAAGCCATATCAGTGAATTTAAGATGCTAAGATACCACAGTAATGAAGAGCAGGGAGGTGGCTTCTGTTACTTCCCCAGTGTGAAGACAGAGAAGAGGTTTCTGCTCCCTTTCTTGCTAACAGGCTACCCGTGACTGACAGTCTCAAGTAGGATTCCTGACTGGGTCAAGAGGTGCCCCTTCACTAGGTGTGAGGGTG